ACTGATGTTTAACTAGACCAATCCCACCTCACAAGCAAATGGAAGCCATGGTTGCTTCTATGTATCCTGACAGTCATGGTGTCTTGCACGTGCAATGCAACGGTGCATCAGTAGGTGTCATGGGGACCCACATAGCAGTCTCTGCTGATGTTTCTGAGATGCTGACCTGTGGAAATCTCTGGGCTGCACCAGCATAGCCCAAGCTGGGGTTGATAGGGTGTCTCTGGAGCCACCACTCACTGTACTGGCCTCTCTGTCTTTTCCCCATAGGCTGGGCAACTGCGATATCACTGCGGCCTGCTGTGCCACGCTTGCTAATGTCATGGTCACCAAGCAGAACCTTATAGAGCTGGACCTGAGCTACAACACTCTGGAGGATGAAGGTGTGATGAAGCTCTGTGAAGCCGTGAGGAACCCCAACTGCAAGATACAGCAGCTAATGTGAGCAATGCTTGTGTTCCTATGGGCAAATGGGTGATCCTGGGGGGTGGAACACCATCTACGTGCTGCAAAACGTGCCCCATCCCTCCCAAATGGCATGGGTGTAGCAGCTGAATCTACTTTGGTCCATTAGACCCAAGAAGGAGGAAATGGTGATGCTGGGGAGGGAACAATGCAGGTGTCTTACTGGCATTTGGACTGGACTGTGCAGTCTAGCTGGGGCCCCTTCAGTTAATTAGTCTTCTCATGACAGCCATCTGTGTGTCTTTCTGCCCTCTCTGACCTTAATGGGAGGATGTCCACTAACCCAACTTGTTTTTTTGTTTCGGTTCAGTCTGTACGACATTTTCTGGGGTCCTGAAGTGAATGATGAACTAAAAGCCCTGGAAGAGGCCAGGCCTGATGTGAAGATCATTTCATGAGTGATGGCTGCCTGCAGAGCAAAGTCAAAACAACGTCCTCTTCTTAATCTGAACTTTTCTTACATAAAGCTAATTAATTTAATATAGATCGTGCTTTTACCAAAAAAAGCCTTGTGGATTCCCAGAGTGGGGGTCTGGGTAGCTGATAAGCCTTGTGTGTCGCTGGATCTGCCAACGCTGAGGCTCGTGAGAGCGTTGTACATTTACACTGCAGCATCGCTATCCTTGAAATAAAGAAATAGTGGGCATCTGCTAGAAGCTGGGCTGTACCCTTTAGGAGCTCTTTAATCCTATAATCCCTCGCAACATATTAGTCAGGCTTTAAAGAGAGCTCCTTTCCAAAGGCAAGGGGAGAACTACCTCCTGTATTGTTGCAGGGGGGTACCTTTGCCAGGTCTCTGGGGAGAGCTTTCCAAAAACCAACAAGTGTGCTTTTTAGTTTAAAATGGAGCTCTCCACTGCCTTTTCCTAGAGGAGCTCTTAGAAAAGCAGCAGTGACCAGGCTGCTGGAGGAGAGAGAAAGGAGTGGCTCTTCAGCTGCTTATAGTCAGAATTAGCATCCCTTGAAGAGTGATTTTTTCCTACCAACAAAAGATGCTGTGTGTTTCTATTAGTATGGGGGAAGATTAAATGGTTTGATATGTTTGCTCTGGCGAGAGTGGTTCTACAGTTGTTTTTATTAAAATCTGTTTGCAAATAATTAAATGCTTCATTCTTCTACTTATAAAAATAAGATCTAATCCATTGCTTAGATCTGTATATTTCTCCCTCGTGACCAACCCCCATCTCTTCTGAACAGCACTATTACTAATGCCTTGCTTAGTGTTTGCTTTTGGTTATGTTCCTGGCTGAAGCACATTGGGAGGAGACATGTCAAGCCCTTAGGAAGGCTGCAAGCCTTCAAGCCCTTAGTTCTGAGGCTGTTTGCCCAGTCAGAATTTTAATAAACCTTGTTGCAAGGGAAAACAAAGCTGACACACACCCATAACACTGCAATGAAAGAAAAAGTAGCTTAAAAAAAAAAAAATGCAAGTGAGAAGCTGAGTGTTGCACTGTGCTAACCCTGCAAAAGCAGCATGTAAAATTAGATCCTGTTTCCTGACACCTCCCTCCCTAAAGCTGTTGCTTGGTGTTTCGGTCACTTGCAAACCCCACCTAGGTGTATGATTTGAAGGTCCTGCAGGCTTGTCGTGTGATGCCTGCATGTTCACCTTGTAACTGGCTTAGCAAGACGTTGATCTGGAAGAAGCTGATAGTGGTTCTTACAAAGGAAGCATTTACCTGAGCAGAGTTCCTGTACAGTCATCACAAACTCCAAAAGTGCCTCAGAAGTTTACTTGTGCCTTCAGGCAGGCATGAATGACAGGGCAGGTTTGTTCCCTACCCATTTCTCTTACAAGGATTAATAAATCCTGGTCTAACTCTTAGTTCACAGCAGACATCTGAATGCTACTGCAAAGCCAGCATAGCCCAGCATTACAGTATAGACAAGCTTCCCTGCACCATCCTTCTGTAGTGCACAGCCTCAGCACCGCTTTCCAAACACTGCACAGAAAACCACTAACCCTACCCCATCAGGGACAACTCAGATCTCCAAGCAAATACTAGTGGCTTAAAAAGCCACAGCACCTGAGACAAATAGATTGGGTAGCAGAGAACCTGACTCCAGTGCATTCACATTCTGTTGCATTCTAGATGCCAGTAGCAGTGAGAGCCTCTGCAGTCTCAAAGCACGTGATCTGGAGCAGGGAGGTCATGGTGCTCCAACAACACTACCAGGAACAGTCATTAGCAAGGTGTGACCCTCCCAGGCATGTCACACTCCTCCGAAACCCACTGGCCCTCTCCTGAGATGGTCCAACGGGAGTCACTTTTTGCCTGAAATCTTCCTTTGCCTCAGAAAAATTATGATTTTTGTCATCTTTTCCAATGCTGGGCAAATAACTTTTCCTATATGCCTCACTCTGCAGCCACCCCTTCCTCCCCAGCACTTCATCACTTTTTATCCCTTTTAATAATAGTAAAAACACGCATCAACATGAAATAATAAAAACCAGAGGGGCAAAATGCCTCCCCTAGCCCTCTCCAGGCCAGGAAGGACGTAGAAATGTGCAGTTCTCAGGCTGTGTGGAGCCAGCCTCCCACCAGAGGAGGGAAGGCCACCCTGCATGCACCATAACCCCTTCCAAGCTGGAGCGTAAGTCAACAGCACATGGGATCCACAGCCACATGGCTGAAGAGAATGGAAATTTTGACCTTACAAGCACTGGGACAGGACATTCCAGAGCCAACTTTCCCCACTCCACTTACCTTTTTCCATGAGAAGTTCTCCTGCCCGTGCCACACTGCCTTGAGGTGCTCAGCTAACTATGTGTTGCAGATGACTAAAGCTCTTTGGCTCCAGGCACAGAGGCACTCCCCAGCTGCACTGTGATGGCCCAGAAGGGATTGCTGCTGGAGCTCCTGCCGCCAGGCTTAAGGCCTCAGCTCACCCCTGGTGTGCAGCAAGAGCAAACCAAGCAGCACATAGAGGAATTGGGGTACAGAGCCCCCAAAAGGTCCCACCTCCTTCCTCATCTCCTCCTCGATGCTTGGCCCTGTAACAGCCGTAGAGCTTGGCATTGTCTTCTTGCTCCTGAACGAAAGCACCATTCCCACCTTCCAGGTGTCACACTGTGCTAAAACCACGGTTAGATGCATCTTTAGGCTCACGGTTCTGCACCTGGGATGCACAGGGAGGGCTCTGGCACAGCTGAGACCACACAGAGTGACCCTCACAGCCACGTTTCTCAGGCGGGCACCCAAACTGCCAGCTCTCTGTGGCTATGATGGAGTTACCCAGGCACCAGCCCAGCCAGCACATTGTTCCACATGTACACCCTGTTCTGCTCCAGCTTCGTCAATATTGGCTCCTGGGAACTTGTTTTTCCTGGTGCAACAAAGCAACCCTGTGCCGTGATCTGGCAGCAGGCTCAGAGGGCTCCCAGGATCCTGCTCTGAAGCTGTTTCTGGAGGTAGGATTTGGGAGCTAGTCCTCTGGGAGGAGCTGGGAATGGGATACTTATGGCTGTAGGGCAAAGGCAGAAACATCCCCTGTGCCTGCAAAGCTATTTCTGCTGGGGGCTGCCTCTGTTAGGGGGCTCAGGAAGGAGTAGAAATTGAGCTGTTTCCTCTTACCCACACTGATGCAGACACAAGGCACGAGGGAAGCGCCTGACCCACTGTAGGCTGTCATTCACACATCAAGGAATGGGTGACAGCCAGACTGAGCAGTGGGGCTGTCTGCCATAGCCAGCCTTGCTGTGACATCTGGCCTTGTGAGAGGAAGTGGTGTTCAGACGGGTTCCAGGAGGGTGAAGCATGCTGGTGGTGGAGACATTCAGCTTTGTTGTTTTCCTTTATTTAAATGCCTGCTTGCCCATTATTCTCCTCATTCAGGTGCAGACTGTTAAGAGTGAAAACCTCTCAGGTGACTGGCAGCCAGGTTTAGAGCAACAGTGTCTGCTGAAAGTTATCTTCATAATATGATCTTCCTGAAGGCTCTGCTATCAATAAATCCCTCTTGATGCTCAGATCCGCACCTAAGCCTACCTGTAGCTCCTTGAGCATCCTCACAGCACAGCTTCTTACTATAGGTTAGCAGAGAGTTAAGTTTCCTGTGCAGATTTATAATGCTTCTCTTAGTCTCACACTTTCAGGGAACTGTTTATTTAGGCTTAGGTTTGGCTCCTATTCACACAAGGATGTTCCTGCAGGCCATCTCCTGTTCTTTGCTGTTGCTTCTGCTCCAGCACATTGCTCAGTGCAGGATCCTGCAATGAAAGCACAGACAATACAGGCAACAGTAAGAATACAGAGAAGAAAATACATGGTGTTAACAGCAGCCTGTTCTAATGCGAGGAACTCACACACACTGCGGATTTTCACTTAACTGATTTCTGCTTCTGAGCTTGCTGTGGGTTGCATAAAGCAGCAGTAATACCTTAAAACAGCACTGGTCTAAAGCTGGGCTCTGGCTACTTTTATTTGCTAGAAGTGGGTAAAGCATTTGCTCTCTGCAAAAATTTGTGTTTTAATCTCATTTTAAGCAATCAGAAAAAGAATAAAACACCAAGGCCTATTCCCTAAGAGGGCAAATGGGTATGAAGGTGATGGGGGGATGAAACACTCAGTCCAGTTCCTCCCTAAAAATACCCACCTGCTCCTTGGGCGGGAGCTAACGCTCTTAAAGGACATTTGCTCCAAGGATAGGATCCCTCCTTCCAGTCTTTACTTTGATTAATCAGGCTAAGTAATGATGAAAGGCTGCATGAAGCCATAGGCTGATGAACCTCTGTCATCTTCTTAGAAGCAAAATGCAGCTTCTGTTTCTTCTCAAAACTAGGAGGTTCCTTGGGGGAACAAGTAACGTTAGGTAAAGCTGAGATGCTCCTTAGCAGAAAATCATACAGTGAGAATAGAAATCATTGCTGCTTATAAAGGCAACTGGAACAATTAATGGAAATTTAAAAAACTTGTTGATTATCATTATCAACATCCCTCAGCTGCATACTGTGGGAGGAATATTATGGGGGTGAAGTTTTGCTGGGTGTTTGTGCTTAGTCTTATGCTTTCCCTGAGCATCTTCTGTCAGATCCTGTCAGAAGGCAATAAGCAGGAAGGGCAGCAGCTGTAGGAGGCAGTAGAGGTACGTGGAGGTAAGGCAGCAGGCTGAGAAAAAGCAAGCAGGGAAATTACAGGTGAGTCCTGTTTCTAACAGCCTTTCCCATTGGAAGTCTATAAGCTGCTTTGTGAGTTGCTTTGGGCAAAGGAATGGAATCGGAATCCAGCAGATGCCCACCTATGTGGTACTAATAGAACTATGATAAAATGGTACTGATCTGGTGAGCACAAGCCTGTGTAAATAATGTTGCACACCCAGCAAAGTGACTAATTCTGTGTGTGTGGGTCTGAGCTGCAGTGTGTATGACTGAACACAGGTCTTGTCCTGAGTTCTGCTCAGGCCTCACAGTGTGGAGAGGCAACACTGATACTGCTGACCCTTTGCTTCCTTCTTTCTTCCAGAGGAAGAAGATAAGATGCAGAACAGCTCCATCACGCTCAGGTTGCACAGCTTACAGCTTCCCTTCTCCAGCACCTGGAAATATGGGATCCTGGCATTAGCCATCCTCTTGCTCCTGGGGGCCCTGACCATCCTGGCTTACCAGATGTGCCAGCTTCAGAAGCACAGCAGGACTGGGAAAAGTAAGTATTGGGCAGTGGTTTTCCTGCTTCCAAGCACGTGTGTGACTGTCCCAGGCACTCTGTGGCAAGCAGCTTGTCGAGGTGCCCTGGGGCAGCTAAGGGAGTGGTTCCTCCTGGTGAGGTGGTGTGAATCTGGGGCAGGCCCCCTGTCCTGATGCTGCCTGTGAGGGGAATGTGGGCCCTTAGCAGGTCCTATAGCGAGGCTGTCCCCTTGCTGGTGGCCACACGGTGCCAGATGGGTATTGCCTACTCAGCTTTCCTTTGTCCCCACAGAGAAGAAATATGACAGTGGAGACGGGGTGAAGATGAGGGCAGAGAATGGTCTGTGGGGGAAGAAGATGCCGCCTCTTCTGCTTGACAGCAGCCAGCAGAGTGACGTGGATATGGAGGCACGTACATCAGTGCTGGGCAAGGCTGAGAGCCATATGAAGTCTGGTGCTGAGGGAAGTGAAAAACCTGCAGCGCAATTTTTTGGAAAGCTGATGACTAACTCGATCTCAAGTGTCACTTCTACTTACTCCTCCTTTATACAGCATTTGTTCAGTCTGAGGGAAGGAGCAATGGCAAACTTCTCTCCTTTCCATTCCCCCCCCCCCAATTCCACCCTGTGTCTGTTACTGGAAGGATGTGGTTTCCCATAACGCAAATTCCTTGAGTTCCTGCTGCCCTCCTCAGAGCAGTGCAGGAAGCCATGAGGCAGGCAGTGGGCTCAACGATGGCCCCAAAATACCACCAGCAGCTGCTGAGCTCGAACCGGCTGCTGGAGAGCTGCAGCTGCTGAGAGAACAGTGAAGCAAGAGGGGAAGGAGGCTGAAAGAGCAGCTGTGCTGCCCCAGCAAGGGCACTACGGGATCATAGAATGGCTTAGGTTGGAAGGGACCTCAAAGATCATCTAGTTCCAACCCCCATGCCATGGGCCAGCTTGCCAACCACTGCCAACACACCTTCCTGCCACCGTAGGAAAAGGAGCACAATTCAGCTTGCCGTGCTTTAAAAGACCTATCTGTCTCCTTTCCTCTCACCCTTGTTTTCCATAGATGGTGGAGCTGGGAGCAGGGCTGGATGCACCCCATCCCTGCCTCTCCTGCAGCATCACTGAAGACCCAAGCAGTGACCCGAGCCCCCTGCCCAGCTCCCAGGGCAGTCTGAAGTTCTCCCTCCTGTACCGCAGGGAGCGATGCGAGTTGCTCGTGAGTGACCTGGAGGTGCGGGGCCTGCCCAGCCACAGACACACTGAGGTGGCCGTCTGGCTCCGACTGCTGCGGCGGGTCCCATCCCACGCCCCTGCGCTCCAGTGTGTGGTCCAGGAGTGGCAGAGCCGGGCGGTGAAGAACTGCAGCGGGACAGCCTTTGGGGAGCACTTTGTCTGCTCCCTGCAGGATGCTGAGATGGAGAGGAGCACCCTGAAAATGGAGGTGGGATGGGATCCTAGCTTTGCTTGTAGACATAGAACACTGCCCTCACCACTCCTGAGGTGTTCCCATCTCTTGCCCCTTTGGGGGAACACAAAGCAGGTGGGTAGTTCTGGGCTCACTCACCAGGTCCTCTTGAATGGCCATGAACTGCTGAGATGTTGGCAACAGGAGAAGAACCAAGCTCATAGAATACCCCAAGTTGAAAGGGACCCACAAGAACCATTGAGTCCAAGTCCTGGCTTCACACAGGACCAATCAAAACCCAAACCCTATGTCTGAGAGTGTTGTCCCACTGCTTCTTGAACTCCGGCAGCTTGGTGCCATGCCTGCTGCCCTGAGGAGCCTGCTCCATGCCCACCACCTTCTGGTGAAGAATCTTCTCCTAACCCCAAGTCTAACATTTCCTTGTTGCTCAAATCCCAAAAGCCAAGAGATGCATGGGAGCAGGCCTTGAGAGCAGGCAGCTGCCCTTGGGGGATATATGGTCCGTAGGGATGCTCTCAAGGTGCAGCCCTGTCCTGCACCTTGCCCCATGGACGTGCTTTTTGCCTCTCTCCCATAGGTCCAACATTTTGACAAATACTCCAGGAATGCCACACTAGGGGAAGTCAGAGTTGCCCTGAGCCAGCTGAAGGCCTCCCAGAGCTTGGTTTTGTGTGTGGAACTGCAGAAGACCACAAAGGTAATGCATGGTTCTATCCTCTGCTCCCATACAGTGGCTTGGGGGACTGTGCACTGTGACAACCATCCCTTCACTTTAGGAACAACTCCTGCCTTGCACCCTGGGGTCTGTGTGGTGCGGGTAGTAGCAGGGAGGGCTACCCAGCTGCCTGCTGATTGCGTGCCCCCTGTCCTCTGCAGGACGTCGTAGGAGAGGTGCTGCTGTCTCTGAGGTGCCTGCCCATATCTCAGAGGATGGAGGTTGGACTGCTCAAGGCGAAAACCTACCCCCCTCGCAGTGCTGCAGAGAAGAGTAAGGGTTTTGTACCCCTGTTGTCTGGGCTGGCTGCTCTTCTCTACCCTATTGCTGCCTGGTCTCATCCACACAGATGGGCATGGGGTGCTGGGGGGGGAAGGTCTTTCTCATGCCCCTCACTCCCTAGCCTTGGCAGAAAAGCACTGCTGAATTTCATTAAGTCGTCATGCTAACAAAACCCCCAGCTGTCACCATGAATCCCATTCCTCTGCTCTGCAGAGACCCAAACACTGGACCCCACCCTCAGCGTAGAGCCAATTTGCTTTTCCTTTGGGGAAAAACCTGGGTGGGAGCAGTGCAGAGGTGATGCCACACTCCCTGGGGCTGTAACCAGAGCTCTGCTATCATCCTTCCATCTCCATGGAGGAGACTGCCCATTGAGGCCACAGACACCTGAGAGCAGCCTTAGAGATGCTCTGCATCATAGATAAGTTGTAAACAGCTCCTTAGCCTGAGAAGGCTGAGGTAGAGCCACCTTTAATTTCTATAACTCCATGTTTGATGTTTCACAGCTGCAGTCTTCTCATGGGAAGTCCTCGGGCAATGGGGCTTCACCATGGTGGGAAGGTGAGGGTCCCCTTAGTCCTACCAGCTATCAGAATACAACTTCACCCTTTTCTCTCTCCCTGTCGCAGGCATATATGCAAGGATAGATGTTTCCTGCAGACGCCACAGGCAGAAGCACCAGAAATCCAGGCCGCAGGCACACACTTCACTCATCATTTTCAATGAGACCTTCCTGTTCCCCATGCCCCAAGCTGCAGCGTGGGACAGCTCTGTGCTCGTCTCCCTTTATGAAGTGGGCCCTGAGCCCAGGCACCTCATCGGGCAGGCCATTGTGGGAAGGAACACGGCAAGGGATGCAGCTGACCACTGGGACCTCATGGCCAAGTCCATCCAGCAGCCTGTAGCCCAGTGGCATCCGCTCCTCATTTAGAGGGGAGGACTTCTGCAACTCCTTGTGGTGGTCTGGCTGAGTTTTCTTGCACAAATGAGCAGCAATCACAGTGAATATATCTAAAAAATGAGTCAGAGCTTGACATACCTGGTAAGATTCAGGTAACTTCTACTTCAGCTTCTTCCCACTGCTCCTGGTGGTCCCATGTCACCTTCAGTAGAGTAGTAGGATCTTAGAAGTTCTTGAGGAGACTGGTTCCTATGGCAGGAAATAGGGCAGTGGGCATTGCAGGGCAGGCACTAAGTAGGCAAGAAGAAAAAGGGGTGGGAGAAAGAGTCCCTGCTTCTATTCATGAAATAAGGAGGCACCAAAAGGTGAAGTGATCTGCATCAGTTCAACCCAGACATGCATTCTGGGACAGATGTGCTTGTAGACCTGGATATGCTTGCATCTGTATCTATCTTATCCTTCTGAATTTTGATGGTTTTTGGCCTTGGAGATTTTCTGGGGCACATTCATCGTATAGGTACAAATAAATAAATGTAAAGGCAAAAAGACATTTCACAGCTTAAAATGTCACCATCTCTCTGTCCTGGTCTGATACGAGGAGTCCCTTTTGTCATTCCCTACGCTCCTGCCACGTCCTCCTGGCTGCTGTCCCAGGTTTTCAGAGCACACATTCCCTCACTCAGCAGCCCCCTGCCTGCTGAGGGCTGGAGCTCCACTTTTCCTTTTTAATGCCTTTTTCTTTGTTATGCTCCCCAGAACTCCTGCCCACACTCAATCACAAGATGTGTCACCTTAGGAGAAACCTGGTAGATGCGTGGATGGCTTTTGCATAGAGCACAACCCCCCCAGAAAACCCATGTAATTTAGGTCACAATAGCTTATTTGGTGTGGAAAGCAGTGAAATGAGGCTAGTGGAAAAGAGGCCACAGTCTGCCAGCCCAGCAGCTGAGATGACCCAGGTGTTTCCAATTTGAGGGATAAAAGTGTGGCCTATAAACAAATATCTAATGCATATAAATTAATGGGTACAGAAATTAATATAAGCAGGTAAATATCCCTGAAAAAGCCACCCTAGAGCCAAGCCATATCCCTCTTGTGCAGATTCCCCTATCCCTTGGCCAACCCACAGCTAAGAAAACCACCTCTGGGGTGCAGGTGAGTGTGCTGCTCAGCAGGCTGCCAGTGCCATGAGTCAGTGTTTATACTGTTAAACTATTAAGATAATTTTAATCCTCAAACCGTCATTGCTGCTATAATTAGCCTCTGGCAACTTTCAATTCGGAGCTATTAAAGCGAATTGGAGATTTATTTCTGTGCAATCACTCCTCCCAGGTGCTGGCAGTCTGATTTGGGAGCGCTCGTTAGTGGGATGCTGATTGTTAGAACAGGGCTTGGCTCCTCACAGCCCCCCAAAACCACCTGGGAGGATTGCAGCTGAAATGAAGGTGTGAGTGCAGGATGTCCTGGGGAGGGAAAGGGGTGGAAGCAAAGGAAGGAAATGTTGTGCAGAGCCAAAGGAGGCTCTGGGGAGAGGCCACTTCAGGTAGAAGCGATTCGGCCTAGAGCAGCATTACATTTGTTCTTCAAATGGGTAAAGTCATTGGTTTGCTCAGCCCATGTTTGTCAAAGAGATGCTAAGCCTTGGGAATGGGTCCTCTTGGTGCAGCTGTGTCCCTATAAGGATGAGTTTGCCATCCATCCACATTCACCTTCATGTTATAGAGAACAAATTAAGGTTTTGGCATCCTAACCCCACAATTCCCATTTTCGAGCACTTAGCACCAAGACAAGAGCTGTGTTCTAAGCAGCCCTTCTTGGTGATGTCTGCTTAATACTCAAGACACTTCATAGCCCATAAAGGGATGTGGGTGCCCCATCCCTGCAGGTGCTCAAGGCGAGGCTGGATGGGGCCCTGGGCAGCCTGATCTGGTGGGGGCAACCAGTCCACAGCAGTGGGGTTGGAGCTTGATGATCTTTAAAGTCTCTTCCAACCGAAGCCACTCTGATTCTATGATTCTGTGTAGTGAAAAGTGGTGCAAGGGGAAGACAACCCAGTCTCAGTGCTGAGCAGCAGCTGGGACAGCACCTGGCAGGGACAAGGTCAAAAATGAGCCTGAAAGAGCAACCACATCCTCACCATGGCAGCCCTGAAGGCAGGGCAGGGAACATGTGGCAAGGTGGGAGGATGGAGGCTGTCCTATCACTGCTGTGCACCCAGACCTCACTGAGGGCACTCCTCCCTCATCAGCTCAGCAAGCCAAACGCACCATGAATTTCTCTTATTCCCACTCAAAAGTAGCCTACAAATCCTTCAGTGCACCTTATCTCCAAGGGCAGCAATCTAACAGCTGGAAAAACACGTGTGTGTGAGCATTAAGCTGTATGGACAAGGCGAGAGCTGGAAGGAGTGCAGCTGGCGCAGGCAGGGCCCCACCACCTGCTCCCAGCACACCAAGGCCTTGGTGTGGTTACAGGCCTCACTGCTCAGCTCGGCTCTCCCACCTGAGTATCCAGGCTGCTTGCAGGGGAAATGTTACCCTGTATTAAGTGGGTGCCCACAGGTGCCTTCCCAGAGTGTCCTTGACGTATGGCTTTAAGCACGTCAGTGAGCAAGCCAATGCCTCCAAGCAAAGTCACGGCTTCCAGAAGGACGTCTTAATCATTAACTACAAAATACACGATTTCCCTGCAATTTAGAGAGCATGGGTTGAGATTGAGATAACAGCAAAGAATTGGAGGTGTTGTTCTCCCTGCCTGGCCCAGCAAGAGGCAGTGGGCGCAAAGAACCCAGGAGGTCTCTCTGACCATCAGACAGCACATCGGTGCTGTGCGGGTGCTTGAGCACTGGCACAGGGACACAGAGGCTGTGGGTCCCCTCCTTGTAGATCTCTAGTTGTCCCCTGGCTGTGGGCCTGCACACCGTGCTCCAGGTGTCCCTGCTGGAGAGCTGTTTGGTTTCCTTAGGGCTGGGGACAAAGGAGCCAGCCTTACTGGAAATGCGAGGTCATGCTGTTAGTTCTCCTCACAAGGGCACTGCCCCGGGGACAGCCTGCTCCCTTGCTCCTTATCGGCCACCCCAAAGCAGCCCTGGCCAGTCCATCCCACACACAGTGTTTGCTTTCAAATGCTGAAGCCAAAACCTGTTGCTCAAAAGGACACGCAGGATCCAGGTGGCCTGGAAGGAGAGAAATGTGTGTGTGGGTTGCTTCATACCACGAGCACACACGATGACAACCTATGCTTTCTATTTTTACCATTTTACATGGGTGCCATGTCACACAGCTCTTTGCCACTAAAGGGACCCTTCCTTATTTTGGGTTTTTACAAAGCTGAAGGATCTGGTGTGGGAAAGGCTGTCACAAGACAAATCTGAAGAGGAAAAAAAAAGCAAAGCAAACACATGTAGAAGTAAATAATTGCACAGCAGACATGTGAAGCTGTAAAACACGTGGAAAATACAAATACGTTGACCAAAAGGGCAGCAATTGGCCTACATTGCTCTGATCTGTATCAGTGGAGGTAAAGGTCAGGCCCACAAAAGCTATGGTTTAGAGGCAGCACGATGGGAGAACGCCGTTGCCCTTTTGAGTGATGTCATCTTCCTGTGCTGAGGTCAGAGACCCCAACAAAGGGCAGTGCAGCTCATTAGGGCCATGGCTCTGCGAGGTCCCTTCAGCAGCTCAGGGAAGCCAGGAGCAACGTGGGAGCTTCTGAGCAAGGAGAGGCCAACCAGATGCAGAAGGCAGGGCTGGCTCTTGTAGGCTCACTAGGGGCTTTGGTTAACACCAGCAATTGTGTATTGGGGGCATTTTCATAGAATCACAGAATCACCAAGATTGGAAAACACCTCCAACATCATCCAATCCAACCATCCACTTAACACCAATATTTCTGCACTAATCCGTGTCCCTTCATACCACAGCTAAATGTTTATTGAACACCTACAAGGGACAGTGACTCTACCACCTCCCTTTCTCACCTCTTTTCCTCTTCCCTTCGTCTTTTTGGGTCATCTTTGCTTTCCTGGGAAATAAGAACACAACTTTCGACACTACACTTCTGACACCACTGCTGGGTTCTCCATCTAACCCAGTTGGGCCACACGGATACAGAAACACTGCTGAGGTATGACTGGTAACATTTCTTTCCTCCTTTTTGATGAAACTGAATGGTAGAAAGAGACATTGTCATGTGATCCTCATGCTCCTCACCCACTGATATAAATATTTCATAAAAACCTGCATATTTATAAATGTATAAACAACAACAAGAAAGTAACAGTAACAATAATAATGTTAGAAGGATGGATTTAGAAAAACAAATGAAAATGTAATGGAAAAATTTCATTTTAGGTTGTATTCGCTTTCAAACTGGAATGAGAAAGACCTCGAAGAAACCTTAACTCTGAGTCCTGAATTTTCATCCAAAGTGTAATTCAATGCAAATGGATTGCTTACTTTATCCCTACAGAGAAACCAGTATTTTTCCAAATAACTCTACCGAGGGATTTATGAAATAACCATTTTCCTTTGTAACCGTAACCTTCTAATTAGATTTCATCCTAAGGTGAAATTGTTAAACCCTTCAGAACTGAGACATTACACGCAATTCTCTATAATCTCTTCCTGGGGAAATTATTGTATTATTTAATACTCTTTGTCTTGGGTAATTAGAGCAGGCTTCCTTCCGCCCTTCCACTCGCTGTTCCCTTTATTTACGTCTGTGTTGGGCTCATACAGCCACGGCCTCTGTGGGCTTCTAGCTTCTAAAGAGAAGGACATGGGCTAGGAGGGATCATTCATCATGGAAGGTCCATTTGGGCTGTGGTGACCTTTCCTTTGGTGTATGTGGCCAAGACAAATCTCATGTGGCCGATCTGATGAGCTGTAGGAGGAAGTGCAGGGGCAGGGGAGAAACCCACGTGCAAAGGGAATGGAGAGCTTCCAGGCAGCAACACCAGAGCTGAGGTCAGCAGATTTTCCAGATTATTGCAGACAGCGCAATCATCTCCAAGCCTTCAGTTCCTGACCCAGTTGGGAGTTAAGCATCCTGTCCGAGGAGGAGATCCTCTTTCTCCAGAGCAGGACACAGCCAACGGGTAACAGCACAGCCCTCTGCAAGGCTGCTCCTCTGAGCAGCGCTGCAGTGCTCCGTCAGTCCGAGACTCAAACCAAGGCCTGCTCAGGGAGCTCTTTTCAGGCCATTCATGCCAGTCAGGCTGGCCGGCAGCCAGACTTCATGGCTGATCCCTGTTTAATGAGCCTGGTAGATACACATCATGTATGTCTTTGTTTGTGCATTATAATATGATCACACTTAACCCCGAGTCTGCAGGGGCTCTGCCTGCTTGGGAAATGAAAGCCATAAAAAGCGAATTTCGCACTAGGAAAAAACAAGCGGGCTGTTTGCTAGTGACCAGCTTTGTTGCCTGGGTACCCAGCACAGTAGCTCCTTTTTGCTCACTGCCAAGGCCCTGTAAGAGCACACTGTGCTTCATTTCAGTCCAGAGCCATTAGGGCTATTTATTCACCTCTGGTGCAATGCTCCATTTGTCGTTTCACGTGAACCAGGCAGGCACCAGGGACAGCCCTGCTGAGCACTGAGGGACAGCTCAACCACAGCTTCCACGAGGATCTTTTGGGGGTGATCTGAACCCTTAAGAGCCTTCTTGTCAGGCTCAGCACACGGTTCTCCACCCTCCTACCTGCAGGAACAATGCAGGGCTGCCAGCACCAGCTGCATCGCACTGTTGCAGCTGCATTGGGCTGCAGAAACAGCAGCAGGGCAGTTGGCTTCTGTCTGCCAGACTTGTGATTTCAGTGCTCCTAAAAAGCTGTGATGTTACCTTGAGTGCTGCCTGCAGAGAAAGCACAGTGCTATCTCGAAGCACTTATCTCCAGCCACTGCAATTTAACACAGCATCCCCCAGCAGCTGGACCACAGTGAACCACAGTACTGAGATTGTAGAGTAGAAGACATCAGGCACTCAGGCTCAAGACAGTCAACTTTCTTCATTCCAGGAATTCACTTATTCGCTTTCTCCTTTGTTCTCTATTCACAACTCAGGTGATGCAACTTCAGAGGGAAGATATAGATTGGATACCAGGGGGAAGCTCTTCACAGGAGTGGTGAGGTGCTGGAACAGGCTGCCCAGAGAAGTTATGGATGCTCCATCCCTGGAGGTGTTCAAGGCCACGTTGTATGGGACCTTGGGGAGCCTGGTCTGGTATTAAGTGT